GGTGTCCAGTGATGTCAGCATATAGCCAACTCTATCCTCTCCTCCTCACTGGCCTTATCTTACAACTTCTCATAATCAGCAGTCACACCAACCCCTCCCCTCCTCCAAGTGCCTAGAGCAACATTTCAGGCTAAAAGCTTTGATGCTGTGTTACAGGGACAGGAGCAACACTGGGTCAGAGGTACTGTCAGCTTTTCAGGCCCAGGAGAAGAGGTAGCTGACCCTACACCATATTTAACCAAGCAAGATTGAGTGCGGCAGTGGCACTAACCTACTGGTCACCTGGGAATAAATACACATGTACTTTGCCTAGCATATACTGTATCCTCAACCTGTTGGTGCAGCAGTTCACCATGAAATACCCTGGGTTCCCAGAGGTCCTTAATCAGGCCAGAAGGATGTGTGGCCACTTTAGGAGGTCATAACTGGCCAGTGTTCATCTGGCAGAAATACAGTTCCAACAGCTGCCCTCCAACACCGCTTGGAAGTTTGCAGTTTATTCCAGTGCTCCAGCACTGTAAAGATGCCTGGACTTAAGAAAGCAGTTGCAGTGCACGATCTAACGTCTAATAATTGCTGCAGGGCAAATTGTGTGTTGTGTCTTGATGTCTGCAACCTATTCCTTAGCCTTGGCACTCAAAAATATTTGTGGCTATTGTCTCTCATATAATATTCTTTAAGGTTGATTCAAGTTAAAACCTGCCTTATCTCTCATTCTTATACTATGGCCGCATTCTGCTGCTTACAGTCTATGCAACCAATGAATATAATTTCTGGCCATCTCCTCTAATTCTAATGTTTATTCAAGATAAAATCTGACTCATATCTCCCTCTTATAATGTGGCCTAACCAAGCTGCTTACATGCTGACCAGCCACTGTACAATACTTGCGGCTATTATCTCTCAATACTACTCTCTAATGTTTATATCAAGATAACATCTGCCTCATCTCTCCCTCCTACATTGCGGCCTAACCAAGCTGCTTATATACTCTCCAGCCACTGTATGAAATTTTTGTCTATTGTCTTTTAAATATTACTTTTCGATGGAGAGATCATCATTCTTCTCCATACATTTTAATAGGATTTTCTGCTAAGTTTGTGCTGTCCGGTCTCTTTATGAAATTTGTGTCTATTGTCTTCTAAATATCACATTGTGATGGACAGAAATATTCTTCCCCATACATTTTAATAGGAATTTCTGCTAAGTTTGTGCTTCTTGAATTTAAAAATTATTTGACAAACTTTCCACAAATCTGGGCAGATTTACCCATCCCTAGTAGCATTAGCTTTTTTTAAGATAAGAACATTTTCAGCAAGTGCAGAAGGTAACTACCAGAAATGCAGTGTCCTTGTTACTTCTAGTGAGCTGAGCTTGTAAACTACTAATCTCCCCACCCCATGTATTGGAAATGAACAAAGGCAGACATATTGGAAGTCCAGCTTGGGTGACAACCATAGCTTTTTCCATATACATACATAATGGAGGAGTGGGCATAGCCACACAGGGACTAGAAGTGTGTTATCCACAGGATTACTAGGTGAAAATAAAGAAAACAAAAGCCTGAAAATCAATGCAGCTACCACATCTAAGGACTTTTTGTTTTTGGATTTGGGTGTGCTTTAAAGTAAAACTATGGGCAAAATAACTAAAATTACATGGTGGTAAAACTGTGGTCTGCATGTGAATATTAAGAAAGATATTATTAAAGGTAAGTAAAATTAATAAAAGGAATTAATATAATGAACATACTGTTACCAAAACACAATTCTTTTGAATATTGATGCTTTAATAACTTACTGATAGTTTTAACTTTTTTTTTTCCAGGCAAGAAACAGGAGCACAACAGATGGTGCAGATCAATTAATTTATTTAAATAAAAAATATAACATTCCATGCAGGCTCTTTGAAGTTCACAGCGGCATTCCTAATTGTCCTGACAATGCCCTTCTTCCTGGGCCCTCAGGAGCAAGTTTTTGGTTCTTCTCAGTTCTCTCCTCCTTTGCTAGCAAGTTCCTGTGTTGACTGCTGATTCCAGCTGGGACTGGAACATGAAAGTGCAATTGGTGATTTTCTTTTTATTTGAATAAATAAAGCGATCGCTTTGTTTCTCACATTTCAGTGTGAGCATTATTCTGAGATACTATTTAGGAGCTTACAGTGATTAATGTGATTGCTAGACTGTGACATAGCTTCTTACCTGTTTAGTTTTGTCTGGTCTCTGTGAGCACAAAACAAGTTGAGGTCTTAATCCTAGATTTTATGTGTTGCCCGGAGTTGCTGTTCAAAGCTAGAATTGAAGCATACAGGTACGTATATACACATATAAAATACTTATATGAGACCTATGTTATCTGCCAAAGGACTTGTATTACTGTCCATTCTGATTTGTACATGTTCCCAAGCAGAACAATCCTGCCTGACAGGGAAGAGGAACTGTTGCAGTTTCTCTGCTGCAGCTTCACTTTCACTTACAGGTCTCTTTCCCACATTGTGACTGGACAGTGAATGGAGAAGCGGCAGACTGGTGAGTTCATCTCTCTGTCACTCTTTTCCCTTATACTAGTAGCATGCTTCTTGTACTGCAACAAACTTAACTGGCTTCTTGTGATGCCTCCCTCCCCCCTTTTTTTTATATGATCCAAAAGATAAGAGCTTGTTTCTTTCGATGTTTTGATGAGGCACTTGTTCATCTTTCTCAACTTAACTTTTGATTTTATGTACTTTATGCTTTGCTGAACACCTGGGTCAATTTTCTCTCAGACATGTCTGCTGTGGCAACTACTGGAAATATATATATATATTTATATATATATCAGGTAAAATAAGTATTGAACACATCACTATTGTTCTCGCTAAATATATTTCTAAAGGTGCTATTGGCATGAAATTTTCACCTCATGTCAGTAACAACCAATGCAATCCATACATACATAGACACCAAAACAAATAATTTCAGAATCTATGTTATGTGTAATAAAATGGAATAACCCAGGGAAAAAGTATTAAACACATGAAGTAAGGAAGGTGCAAAAAGGCATGGAGAATCAACACACCAGCTGAAATCTATCACTAATTAGAAAGCAATCCTGCCCCTTGTTAGTGTAAATTAATATCAGCTGGTTCAGTCTCAACCGAAGGCCTATAAAAAGGTGTCTCTTTACCAAGGTATCACACAAGAAACATCTCATGATGGGAAAAAGCAAGACCTTGGCAACCTTATTGTTGTAAAACATACTGATGGCATTAGTCACAGAAGGATCTCTAAACTTCTGAATGTACCAGTGAGCACTGTTGGGGCCATAATCCGGATGTGGAAAGGACAAACGTTTCACCATAAACCAGCCATGACTAGGTGCTCATCACAAGATTTCTGACATAGGAGTGAAAAACAAATATCAGAAGAGAAGTCCAAGGGCCACTTGTGGAGAGCTTCAGAAAGACCTGGAATTTGCAGGTAAAACTGTTTCAAAGAAAACATTAAGTAACGCATTCAACCGCCATGTCCTGTATGCACGCTCACCACGTAAGACTCCATTGCTGAAGAAAAAGCATGTTGAAGCTCATTTGAAGTTTGCTGCACAACATTTAGACAAGCCTCTGAAATACTGGGAGAATATAGTCTGCTCAGATGAGACCAAAATTGAACTCTTGGATACCATAATACATACCATTTTGAAGGTCAAATGGCACTGCACATCACCCCAAAAACACCATAGCAACAGTAACATTTGGAGGTTGGAACACCATGGTGTGGGGCTGTTTTTCAGCATACGGTACTGGCAAACTTCATGTCCTTCATTGAAGGAAGGATGAATGGAAAAATGTACCAAGACATTCTTGATAAAAATCTGCTGCCATCTACCAGGATGATGAAGATGAAATAAGGGTGGACATTTCAGAAAGACAATGATTCCAAACACAAAGCCAAGTAAACTCACAATTGGTTTCAAAGAAAGAAAATAAAGCTGCTAGAATGGCCTAGCCAATCACCTGACTTGAATCCAATAGAAAATCTATGGAAAGAACTAAAGATCAGAGTTCATAGAAGAGGCCTACGGAACTTTCAAGATTTGAAGACTGTGCAGAAGAATGGGGCAAAATCACATCTGAGCAATGCATGCAACTAGTTTCTCCATACAGGAGGCATCTTGAAGCTGTCATTACCAACAAAGGATTTTGTACCAAGTATTAAATACATTTCAGTTAGTGTGTTCAATACTTTTACCCTGTGTCATTCCATTTTATTACACATAACTTAATTTCTGAACTTATTTGTTTTGGTTTCTTTGTATGTATGTATTGTATGGGTTGTTACAGACATGTGGTGAAAATTTCATGTCAATAGCACCTTTAGAAATATATTTACTGAGACAAATGGTGATGTATTAAACAATACTTATTTTACCTATAATATATACTATATATATATATATATATACACACACACACACTATATTGCCAAAAGTATTGGGACGCCTGCCTATGCACACACGTGAATTTAATGGCATCCCAGTCTTAGTCTGTAGGGTTCAATATTGCGTTGGACCCCTTTTGCAGCTATAAAAGCTTCAACTCTTCTGAGAAGGCTGTCCACAAGGTTTAGGAGGGTGTCTATGGGGATGTTTGACCATTCTTCCAGAAGCGCATTTGTGAGGTCAGGCACTGATGTTGGACAAGAAGGCCTGGCTCTCAGTCTCCACTCTATTTCATACCAAAAGTGTTCTATCCGGTTGAGGTCAGGACTCTGTGCAGGCCAGTCAAGTTCTTTCATCCCAAACTCGCTTATTCATGACTTTATGAACTTTGCTTTGCGCACTGGTGCGCAGTCATGTTGGAACAGGGAGGAGCCATCCCCAAACTGTTCTCACAAAGTTGGGAGCATGAAGTTGTCCAAAATGTCTTGGTATGCTGATGCCATAAGAGTTGCCTTCAGTGGAACTAAGAGGCCAAGCCCAACCCCTGAAAAACAACCCCACACCATGATCCCCCCTCCAACGAACATTACACTTGGAACAATACAGTCAGGCAAGTACATTTCTCCTGGTAACCACCAAACCCAGACATGTCCATCGGATTGCTAGACAGAGAAGCGTGAGTTGTCACTCCAGAGAACACGTCTCCACTCACCTAGAGTCCAGTGGCGACAGGCTTTACACCACTGCATCTGATGCTTTGAATTGCACTTGGTGATGTAAGGCTTGGATGGAGCTGCTAGGCCATGGAAACCCATTCCATGAAGCTCTCTATGCACTTTTGTGCTAATCTGAAGGCCATATTAGGTTTGAAGGCATTTAGCTTTTGACTCTGCAGATAGTTGGTGGTCTCTGCACACTGTGCACTTCAGCATGTGCTGAACCTGCTCTGTCATTTTACATGCCCTACAACTTGGTGGACGAGTTGCTGTTGTTCCCAGTTGCTGCCACTTTGTTATAATATCACTAATAGTTGACCGAGGAATATTTTGTAGCAACGAAATTTTACGGATGGACTTATTGCACAGGTGGCAACCTATCACGGTACCACACTTGAATTCACTGAGCTCCTGAGAGCGACCCATTCTTTCACAAATGTTTGTAGAAGCAGTCTGCATGCCTAGGTGCTTGATTTTAAACACCTGTGGCCATGGAGGTGATTGGAACATTGGAGCACCTGATTCCAATGACTTGGAGGGGTGTCCCAATACTTTTGGCAGTAAAGTGTATATATATATATATATATATATATATATATATATATATATATATTTAGAGAGCAGTAATAATTATAGCTGCAATTGTAATAGTGGTTTCAATCATTGTTTCGCCTTTCTTCTCAGAGTTGTAGAAAATCCCTTAAATCCTATTTTTACCCATATAACTGCTAAAAGATCATATTCAGAGAGTAGTGGTTAATGATTCATACTCTGAATGGTCTAGGGTTGTTAGTGATGTACCCCAAGGTTCAGTGTTGGGACCCTTACTTTTTACCATTTTTATAAATGATATAGGGTCTGGGAATAAAAGTACCAATACAGTCTTTGCAGATGAGACCGAGCTGTGCAGTGGAATAACGTCCTTACAGGATGTCTCTAACTTACAAGCCGACCTCAATGCACTGTTTAATTGGGCAACTATGTGGCAAATGAGGTTTAATGTTGATAAAAATAAGGTTATGAACTTGGGGGCTAAGAATATGCATGCATCATACATACTGGGGGGTACAACTGGGGGAATCAATGGTGGTTAAGGATCTGGGAATTCTGGTAGATCACAAGCTTAATAATGGCATGCAATGCCAAGCCGCGGTTTCTAAAGAGAGCAAAATCATCTCTTGTATTACAAGAGGTATAGACTCCAGAGAGAGAGATATCATATTACCCCTATACAAATCATTAGTAAGATCTCATCTGGAATACGCAGTTCAGTTTTGGGCACCAATTCACAAAAAGGACAATCAGGGAACTGGAGAAAGTACAGAGAAGGGCAACCGAACTGATAAGAGGCATGGAAGAGCTCAGCTATGAGGAAAGATTAGAGGAACTGAATTTATTCTTTCTTGAGAAGAGGAGATTAAGGGGGGATATGATCAACATGTACTGTATAAATACATCAGTGGTTCATATAGTGAACTCAGTGTATACTTATTCTCCGTAAGGTCATCACAGAGAACAAGGGGGCACTCTTTATGTATGGAGGAAAACAGATTTATTCTCCAAATACGGAAAGGTTTCTTTACAGTAAAAGTTGTGAAAATGTGGAATAGACTCCCTCAAGAGCTGGTTCTGGCCAGGAACAGTAGATTGCTTTAAAAAATGCCTGGATTACTTCCTAAATACACATAATATAACTGGATACTAACATTTATATATAAAGTTGATCCAGGGAATATCCAAAAACCTCTTGGGGATCATGAAGGCATATTTTTCTTTGCTGGAGCAAATTGGATCATGCTTTGCTGGGTTTTTTTGCCTTCACCTTGATCAACTGTGGGTAAAGGATTGGTATATAGGATTATATATATATATATATATATATATATTTCCTTTTTATTTGTTGAACAAGAGGAACTTGTGTGTCTTTTTTCAACCAGGCTAATTATGTACAGCAACTATAATAGCCACACCTGGTGATGTATGATAGTAATTTCTGCTCTGTACTTGGAGTGCAGGCTTGTTTAAATAGTTAGTAATCTTCCAAAAAAGGGCAGATAAATGAATAAGGGACATGAAGGACCTTAACTATGACATCCTGTAAGGCTTAGGCCTAATCACTTAGCTGCTCCTCACACACCCTCCCCAAGCCAGAGCCTGAGATGTCACTTGGCCCTCCCCAAATATTTATACTTTTACACCAATGACAAAGAAACTCCTACTGGCTGGCTAGTATGAATATTTATAGGTCACCTTTACTGTATCTTCTCATATCACAGCTCCACTGAATTTAGGGGAAAACCAAACACACAAGTAGACTATAAATCAGCTAGGATGTCTATCAGCCTAACAAAGCATAATGGCAGCTGAAGGCATCACCACACCACTTCCAGCAAGTGGTAAGTAATAATAATAATACTAATAAACTTTATTTTTTACAGCGCCTTTAAAGGTAGTTTCTCAAAGTGCTTTACAAAGAAAATACAAGAAATACACAGTATAAAACAAAGGACAAAAAAGGAAGAAAAGAATAATTAAGTGAAAGCTTGTCTAAAGAAAAAAAGGTTTTAGATTTGATTTGAATGAATTTGGGGAAGATGACCCTCTGATGTTCCTTGGAAGTGAAACAATAATGGAAACCATGACAATTTATAACAAGCCTTTAAAGCAAGGTACATAGAAGGACGAAGCACAACACAAAACCTCTGTTTTTAATGGTATCATGCAACTTCCAAATAAGCTGTAAAACATAAAGGTCATCTAATATGTCAAAGGGAATCCATTTAAAAAAAATGTGATCCACTGTGACATGGTTCAACAAATTAAAGTTGCCATCAGAAGAGGGTAAAGAGTTGTTGCAGTTGACTCAAACTGAGAAATAAAAATGGAGTCCAATTGAGCATCAGTGAAGTTGTCACAAATAGGGAATCTGTTCCCAATAGGGACAGACTTACTGACCACCAGGGCTTGGTAGCAGCAGCTGAAGCTAGGCGGTGGCATAGGCTACAGAGAAGAAATAGAGAGCTTTGTAGAGTCAAGGACATTGTGGAGACTAGATAACTGATGTCACTGAAGAAAATGATATTCTGTGGCCCGCTCTTTCAGTGAAGGTGAAAAGAACTGAGGCACGGGATCTAAATAGCCACTTGGTCTTCACCAGGTGATGAGTTTTGCAACTGACAACTCCAAGGATGCTGCCCTCAAACTCACCCAAGTAGGAAACTACTGGAAACTGAGTACAGATACTGTATATAGGGATGAGTTTCTTGTAACACTGGGGTGCTGAGCTTATTAGCAGCAACCAGTCTCTTTTGGCACTGGGATACTGGGATCAGAGGGAATTTCTGAAGAATATAGGAGACACACAAGTGTAGGGAGACTGGATCACTAGAGACATGCTCAGGAATTCACTGGGAGACGCAGATAGCACAGCAGCAGCTAGTGTGAATTGCTTGAGCGCCAATCACACAATAGGCAACATACACATTAACACTTTAAGACAGCACCCTCTCTGTGCTTGGCTGTGGCGCCAGCAGAACCCAGAAGCTGGTGGTTGTCCACAGAGGGGAAGACCCAGTGCTGGAACGTGGAACAAGGGAGTGCAACAAAAGCCTTTAATGATAGACATTTTTCACTGGTGTGAGGAGATTGATGGACTGTTTGACCAACAAAGGATAAAGACCAATTGTCAATACATTCCCTAATCAAGGGGAAACATTCCTGATAATATAGCGTGTTCCAAAACTTCACACAGGAGGTTTTCCAGTATAGAGGATACAAAGTCTTTGTATCAGTAGAAGAAGCAAAATCAGATTTACCAGGTGATCCTGCCATACACAGAGCACAGCAAACTGCATCAATTAGAGTGGACATGTCAGGATTGTCAATGACTCAGTTAAACATAATTCGTACAGGAGTAGCCTATGTAACCTATTGAAATGTTATTAATTACAATACATTAAAATGGACATTAGATGGTGGTGGACTGCCATTCAGGGTCACTCAAAAGGACAAAACAGCCCTCTGCAACTTGTATGCTGAATAGCAGGTGAGCAGGGCAGTCAGGGACTACATTTCCCAGGGGAGGTAGCGTGTGGGTGGGGGCATGTAACTATCAAAAGCCTGGGAGATTGACCAGGAGAGTGCGGGGAGAGACTGAAGGAGAAGGTTGTGCTGATGGCTGAAGTGTTGAACTAGGCCGTGGAGCCAGGGTTGGAGTGAGAGGAAGAGCGGAAAGAGCCTACTGACCACCCGGTCTGTCATGCTGCACAGCAGACCAACCTTACAGCAGGAGACCAGATGGGACGCCGAGACTGACCCCATTTGCAGAGAAAGACAGACCTCTACAATCTGCAAGAATACTTTGATTGGGTGAGAGAGACCCATGCACCCACTAACCAAGTGAATACTGACAGTTTGCCACCTCAGCTATCTACGTACACATAGTTGTGAATAATACATATAGTTGCCTCAGTTTGCGACCTAGTTCTCACAGCCACCATCATTGAGATACATCTACATTACAGTTTATTGTACAAGCCTGCAAGATGTTTTAATAAATGTATGGTGCTTTAAATACTGCGCCATGAAGATTCTTAATTCTTTTTGAGCAGCATTTCACTGAAGATACCGTTCATTGCTTTCTGGAGAGTGTGGAGATCCCTTGTGGTGATTAAGTACATCTAGAGAGGTCTGGAGAGTTATTGCAGCCTGGTTAAAGGATGAGGTGCTTATACATACATGATTGAGGTGAGCAGCTAGTGTAATTAAACTAGGTGTGAAACTAACAGGAAAAAGGACTAGTTGTGGACTCAACCAGAATGGGGAATTTGTAAATACTCAAGAGAAATAATTCAAAGGAGAAGGTGATCAATGGAGCACAAAAACTTCTTTATTAACACAGAATTAAAGGTATAAAACAAAATACCAAAAAATCGCATCACACTCCACAGGTCCCAAGTAGGTAAATCCCCATAAGGAGGAAAACTCATTAGTTGAAAAATAATTGTATGGATGACTCATAATTGTACATGGGATTACACTACCCAGGAGGAGAGTAGTCTATCAGGATCCGGTTATGATAAAAGACCCTCTTTTCCCTCGCAATGGAAGAGGGTCTAGGGGAGGGAGAGGACGTGGCTGGGGGGATTCGGTCAAAAGGAAAAATATGGCCTTGGAAGAAAATGAAGTCAGTTTGGTTAACGTAGGGGGAAACCTGGAGGGACACCTATGCAATTACCACCATCAATGCTCTTGCAGTCAGAAAACGAGGGAGGCTCAAAAGGCGCAGAAGGAGGAGGCACAGTAGATATGGGACCTCGAGGGGTAGCGGACCAGGTTGTGACCACCAGCCAAGTATGCTCCAGGAATGAGAATGCAGACATCATAACAGGGATTAAGTACCCACATGATGTTTACACCTTTCCCCAAAAAATACAGAATAGACCAATATATGATTCCCCCAGAGAACAGGAGAC